GAACCGACTAGGGAACGGTTGCACTAGACCGCGAGTCAAAACTCTTTCCATCTCTTCTCCTATCCTTCTGCAGAATATACTATTCCTAACAATTTGGCCTTACCAAGACCTCTCCCCCCTCACCTAAAGGAACGATGGGCCTGGAAGATCGTAGCTGTAAGGGTTAACCCTCTTAGCCTTAACTCACGTCGATACTGGTGAACTCCGACGAAAGCATTCTACACGGTGAATCACGACGGATTGTGGAAAACCATGCAGAAATTCAGCTGTCCTGAGCACTTCATCCACATGATACATCAACTCCAAGCTGGAATGATGGCGCCTGTCACGAAATATGGGACAGTTCCTGAAGCCTTCGCAGTGACCAATGGAAGGAATCAGGGCTGTGTCCTCATGCCTACTCTCCGCAGTCTCATGTTCTTTGCCATGCTGATGGATGCCTACCGTGACGCGTATCCCGGGATCCGCATCAGCTAGAGAACAATGGGCACCTTCACAACATCCGGCGTATGTAGACCTCCATTCGCGTCTCCACGACCATAGTCCACGGCCCGCCTTTTGCGGACGACTGAACAGAAGAGAATATGCAAAGAAATATGGAACATTTCACCGCTGGTAGCGCAAAGTTCGGCCTTATCATCAAAACGGATTAAACGGTGGTCATGTATCAACCACCGCTGATCACAATGCTCCACTGATCAATATCAACAACGCCGAGCTCAAAACCGTGGATGCCTTTGCCCATCTTGACAGCACGCTATCTTGTAGCACTAGAAGCGACGACGAGATTGCTCACCAGGTCTCCAAAGTCAGCCAAGCCTTTGGCCGGTTTCAAATCTCTATATTGAACCATCATGGCCTCCAATTTTCCACCAAACTGAAGATGTACAATGCCGTTATCCTCATGACCAGACCAGGATAGTCTACGCCAGCCACGCTCTGCAACTGAACCATACCCATCTCAGTTGCCTCCGCCGAATACTTAAGCTAAGATGGCTGGACAGGAAGGAACTCCTAGAGAGAACGGGCGTGTGGTGGCCGCTAGCGCTGATCGCTGACTCATCACGCCAAGGCTTCAGTCGCAATGACTGCGCTCTTGTGTGAACGGCCGCAGCACCCTGTCCACTTCTCTCTCAATGGCGCACGCGACCTACGAACATGCCTAGTCTCGGTTGCCCCCACGCCGGTGCCTAAGCTCGCGCGGTCCAACCAATCACATTTAAGGT